TGAAACTCTGTACACATTAAATACTAACTCTCCATTTTCTCTTCCCCCAGCCTGTGGAAGCCATCACTGAACTTTCTATTTCTGTGAATTTGACTATTCTATAAGCCTTATCTAAATGGAATCATACAGTATTTGTTCTTTGTTGACTGGTTTATTGCCCTTAATGTTTTCAAGCTGTATCCATGTTGTAGCATGTGTCCAATTTTTTTTCCTTTTAAAACTGAATAGTCGGGCTGGGGCTGTAACTCAGCAGTAGAGCGCTTGCCTTGCACGTGTGAGGCTCTGGGTTCGATCCTCATCACCACATAAAAAATAAATAAATTCCGATATTGTGTCCATCTACAACTAAAATAATTTTTTAAAAAACTGAATAGTCTACTTTATGTGTTTGCCACATTTTGTTTATTCAAATATCCATCAGTAGATACTTAATGTGCTTTCACCTTTTGGCTCTTATGAGTAGTAAGTCTATGTAAATAATGGGTGTACAAATTTTTTTTCTGTTTCCTCCAATAATTCATTATAAAAACATGTAAACATACGTTTTCCATTGAACATCTGTATTCCTACCACCTAGATTCTGCCACTAATATTTCACTATGCTGGCTTTATTGATAACTTATGCATCCATCAATCCATATTATTTTTTGATGCACTTTAGAGTGCACAGACTTGCTTCAGCATGCATATAATTAACTAGAATTCAGGATTAGTTCATTTTTCTCTCTCAAATTATTTACGATGAAATCTTCAAATTTGAAATGCACACTCAATGAATTTTGACAAATACATATCCTATGTAACTAAAACAACTGTCAAGATCTACAACTTGGCTGTAACCCAATAAAGTCCCCTCATGTGTCTTCTTAGCCTTTCTTCTAATTCCAAAAAGGAAATCACTGTTAGCATAGATTAATTTTACTTATAGCTCTTTCTGAAAATGGAATGATACATATGTGTTCTTCTGTGTAAGGCTTCTTCCATTCAGCATTAATGATTTTGAGATTCATCCGTATTGTTAAAGACCAGTACTGACTTCCTTTTTATTGCAAAGTAATGTTCCATTGTATGAATAGACCCCAACTTATTTATCCATTACAATGGAATATGGCTTTTTTCACTGCCACTTATTATTATTGCTGTTATTACAGTTTTAAACAGGACAACATAATATCTTTCTTGCTTATTCCTTTACATAGCTTAGTAAATTCTTGTGAAGGAATTTTCAAAAGTAGTTTTTAAAAACAACAATTTCCCTTACAGTTTAGGATCACCATTTCTCCTTATTCTACATCACCAGTGTAAGAAATCACATAGTTGTTTGTTTGTTTGTTTATCCCAGCATACAGTGCTGGGGATCAAATCCAAGATCTCAACCACTGAATTTTACCTCTATCCCCTAGTTTTCTTTTTTAATGCTGATAGATAAATTATTCCACAAAGAGTCACTGACTTCTATGCTAGGTATATCTTGAGATGTTATGCTTTTTCCTGATTTTCCTCCTAATGTTTTATACAAACACTGGCACTTCACTGTGGAGAGGGACCTGGAAATAGGAGGTATTTGTAGTTTCTGTTTGTTGCAGGTGGAGGATTTCTCAGTGCCAGCTGTTATACCAGCAGCAGAAGCAAAGAATAGAAGAGAAGGTAGGATAAAGAAGACACAGACATTATAGGTTATTGGTGGTAAAGGCAGTCTTTACTACAAACGTAAATGGAAACCCATAATTTTTTCAGAGAAATTTTCAGATAAATCTGATGGCACTATTTAATTTGCTAATTAGGTATCCTACCATATGTCTGTTCTCAGAAATTTAAATATGCCACCTTTTCCATGTTTTTATCTATTGCATATATGGTATTTATGCTTTCCATCCGATCTCAAAATACCATAGGAACATGAAAACTCATTTTATAATAGAATCTCTTTTCATTTAATTTTGCAATTTCCAGGAGAAAAATCCAATTTAAAAAATTCTGCATGGTTGAAGGACAAGTAATTAAGGATATCAAAGAAGCATTTAAAATATTAAGACCCACTCTGTATTTTCCAGAAGGCTTGAAAGTAATACCACTTAATAGGTTACTTGCCATTCTGCACTTTCAAAGCACTTTAAAGTCATTCATCTGTCTGAAGTAGGACAGTATTAACACCATTCGTTAATAGATGAGAACTCTCCCCCATTCCCATCCCAGATTTTACTGTATTTGAATTCCAGAATTTATCCAAAGCTCTCCTAATAGTACCTGTTGTCTTTTGGTGGCCTGACAGACCACCATCTTCTAAATACTTCTGGGATATTTTTTCACAAGAGTTTTAAAATCTAGAAACAAAGAAATATGTTGGGATAGTAGTAAAAATATATTTACTTTGAAAAATGTGTAAGAGATTATATTACACATAGAAAAAGGTGAAACAATTATGTATAATTGGGTAAAATATTTCAAAATGTAGATGAAGTCTTAAAGCAAATATAACTTTAATGTGTACAGGTTTTCCTCCTGGAGGAGTGATGATGGAATCTTGTACCCAAAATAATTTAATAATTACATTGTATTGGTCTAGGTGTGCTTGTGGTTAACAGAGAGAAAGTTACCACAAGTATATATTTCCTGAGTTTGCCATAATTAGTTACGAGGATAGCAGTTCTGTAAATCACTTCTTATTTTATTACTTGAACAATAGTATTAAATTAGAGCATATTTTTCAGGAATTTTATAATTTAAAGAAATAAAGAGTGTGGACAACTTTGTTTTGCTGATCTTTATTCATTTAAATGTGGAGCATCATGGTGGTAAAAATTTCAAAGCATGATTTATTTTTATTTACAAGCATGTTTAATTTTACTTTTGTTTTTGATCTTTTTTTTTTTGAGCTTTTTAATACTGTAAAAATATTAATCTTAGATGGCCGTAATGTAGATATCTTCAGCACTGTACAGAAAGTCATTGTCAGAGAATTCATTCTAATTCAAGGTTAATTAGCGTACCATTAAAATAATGTGTTACAAAAATTAATTACATTATAGGTCAAAATACGTGTTAAAAAGCATGGTATAGATGTCTGAGAGTACCTCATCCTTCTTAAAACATTGCCGTACATGTGTCACCCTTCTGGAAAGTACATCCAAAGTGAAAATCACTGCTGAGGTCCAGTCATAGGTGTTTCCCTAAAGTAAATTTTTGGCACCACATATGGCAAATTTAAAATATAACTCCCATTAACAGTAAAATGTGTTGCTTGTCTTCTTTCCCATTCAAACAGCTAAGGATTTATATTTTAGCATTAGTTGATGTAAGCCTTTTGGGTCAAACTTAAAGAAAAATTAAGAACCTGATTGGGAAGTAAAAATTATATGTACTTCTTGTGGTAAAAGTACTAGACATATTAATAGTATTTTCTTATTCAACTATTAAGTAGTTCTGGTACATATCCTATGTAAGTGTATTACATACCATCTTAATTATGTAGTAATTCTTGTTAATAGTTTAACTTGGTAGCCATAATATGTACACTTAAGATTAGAACTAAAAATGATAAGACTTTGAAATTTTATCCAATTCTTTTAATGTGAAAGCTGTGTAACATTTACATTGAACTGTAGAATATTTTGTACAATGGTTTTTGTTCAGAGTCTATTAAAATATCCAGCCTCGTGTAGAATTTTAAATTAGTTCCCTAATAACAACCGGTCAGTACACATTAGAACTGTAGAAAATTTCACATAGGAAATGTTGCTCTAGCACTCACCAATGTTTTTTTTTGTTGTTGTTGTTTTTTAACTGCACTTTTGGAATTGTTTTCTTAAAAAAAAAATCTTTTGCTACTATAACAAATTGTGAATGGTTTGCCCTTTTTTTTTTCCTTTTTCATATTTTCAATTTTTTTTTACTAACTTCCCTTTTAGCCTAATGGACAACAGTTTTTTACTGGTAAATAAATGTAGCCCAAGAAAATAAAATTTTTAAAAAGGCCCATTTGTAAGGAGGAAGTTGTTTTTTTTTCAAGACTAGGTCCTGGTTTAATTAGTCGAACTAATAGGTGCATGAAGGGTGATTGAATGAGAGAAAGAGTATAGGCAGGTTTACAAAAGCATTCTCAAGGTAATTTTTGCTTTACAGCCATCCTCATCCCAGCATATATCTATTTAAATCTTTTCTACAATGACATGAAATAGGGATCTCAATGTGGAAAAACAGTCCATTCTGTATAAATGAGTACATCATCACCACCCTCAAAAGTAGTTTGTTAAGCCACACATCACTCATTTCTTCAGAAAGCCCTGAGCTCTAAGAGTTCTGTTTATTCTTTGAGCCTAGTAGGCTTCTTTCCTCATGTAGAGTAAGATTTTCTGATCGAATATAGAAATAACACATTAACAGAAACTGTGATTCTATGGGTTAAAATTAATATGTCATACTTAGAACTTTATACTTATTTATTTACTCTGTTTTAAATTGCCTTTCTCCGTCAACTGTTGATGATAGACACTAGTAAACTATACTAGTATTTTTCAGATATTTCAGAGTATTAATTAAGGGGCAATGGTTAATCTTACTTTTAAGGAATAAACTGAAGGAAATTTACATATGGTAGATTTAGATTATAATTTCTACCTAGGTTTAAGTACTCATTTTTTTTTTTATTCATCAGATTTCTTTCACCAGAAGTGGTGAACATAATAATTTAAGAAAACTATATTACATTAATTTTAAAAACTTGAAAATTTACAAAGCATTTTCTTGCATTTAATTCATTCAACAAATATTATTGATACAATCATGTTGTTGTTATTCTTATTTCCATTCTATAGATGAGGAAACTGATTAGGTTGAAAAAAATCATTGGGATTCCATTTTTGCCATAGTGCATTTTTACATCAGTCATTCTTAAATAATTAACCTATAGCTTACAAACTTCTTTATCTTTCTTAAACTGTTATGTCTTTTACATAACCCCAAAACTGGATTAATTGATTTGTCTTTTTCTGTGTTTTTAGGGCAGAGCTCTACTCCATTGGGCATGTGATCGAGGACATAAGGAATTAGTCACAGTCTTGCTACAATGTAAAGCTGACATTAATTGTCAGGTAAGAGTGATAAAGAAGGGCCTTTCTTTTAAAATTGAAATGAAATTCACAACAAAATTTTGGAGATTAACCACTTTAAATCATGGAATTTGGTGGCACTTCCTATGTTTCACAGTGTTACAGGGTCACTACTGTTCAGTTCCATAACATCACCCTCCCTGCAGAAGGAGTCCCGGTGCCTAAGCCTTCCTGTTTTCCCCAGGTCCCAGACCTTGGCAACACTAATCTGCTTTTTTTTTCTATGGTTTTGCCTATTCTAGTTATTTCATATAGATGGAATCTTGAACTAGGTGGTCATGAAATATCCTGTCTGGATCTCTCACTTAGCATGACATTTTCAAGTTGTGTACATGTTGTAGCATGTAACAATACATCATTCCTTTTTATGACTGAATTGTATGGATATCACACATTTTGTTTATCTTATTATCAATTGGAGGAGGACTATTAGGTCATTTCCACGTTTTCACAATTGTGAATAGTGCTGCTTTAAACAGTCCTGTATTTTGTTTGTTGTAGCAACTGTGCTCAGTTCTTTTGGTATTTACTCTGTTAATTGTGTCATAAGTTAATTTGATGTTTAACTTTTTGAAGAACCTTCAAAGTGTTTTCTGTAGGAGCTGCACCATTTTACATTCCCACCACCAGTGTGTGTGGCTTCCAAGTTCACTATATCCTCACCGAGACTTGTTATTTTCCTCTTAAATAGCCACCCAAGTGGACATGAAGTTGTATCTCATCATGGTATGATTTTGAATTTCCTTTCCTTGATGACAAATGGTGTTTGAGTGGTTTTCATGTACTTGTTGACCATTTGTATATTTTTGGGGATAAATGTATATTCCAATCTTTTGCCCATTTTTAAAGTGACTCATTTATCTTTTTGTTGATGAGTTTTAGGCATTCTTGATATACTCTTAGATATTAGACTCTTGTCTGATATATGACTTACAGATATTTTCTACAGATTTTCTCTTCATTTTCTTGATAGTCTCCATGAATATACACGTTTTTAATTTTGATAGAATCTAATTTACCAGCTTTTTGTCTTGAGTTTATGTTGTCATACCTTAGAAATCATCACTACATTCAAGATTGTTAAGATTTACTCCATGTTTTCCTTTTTTTCTTATTATAACAAAATATACATAAGATTTACCATTTTAATCATTTTTAAGTATACATTCAATAAAGTACATTCACATTGTGTGTAGACATCACCATCATTCATTTTTAGAACTTTTTCTTCTTCCCCAAATGAATCTCTTAATACAAACTCCCCAGGCCCTTTTCCCTCAGCCCCCAGCAGCCACCATTCTACTTTGTAGCTCTGTGAATGTGGACCTCTATGGGTACCTTGTATAAGTGACTCTTAGATGATATTTGCCCCATTTTGACTGGCATATTTTACTTAACATCTTCAAGGTTCATCATTGTACCATGTTTTAGAATTTTCTTCCCTTAAAGTTGAATAATGTTTTATTGGATGTATTTATCATATTTTGTTTACTGAAATATCTATCAGTGGACATTTGGTTTACTAATGTAAATAATGCTGCTGTGAACATGGGTGTACAAATGTCAGTTCGAGTCCTTGCTTTCACTGTTTTTGAGTTTATGCACAAAAGTGGAATTGCTAGATCCTATAGTGATTCTATGCTTAGTTGTTTGGGGGATTGTATACTGCTCCCCACAGCTACTGCACCATTTTCCATTCCCAACAATATATTAGTGTTTCAACTTTTCCACATCCTGTAAACACTTATTTTTTGTGTATTTGGTATTAGCAATCCCAGTGACTGATCTGGATTCCTTTTGTCTTGTTTTTCTGCCTAATTGCTCTGGATAGACCTGCCAGTACTAGGTTGAGTAAAACTGGAAGAAAAAGGGCAACCTTGTTTTATTCCAAAAGTTTGCTTTTTAGTTTAGTATGTTGGATATGAAACGCTTTGCTCAGTATTCATTGTCATATATATCCATTCCACTCTAGTCTCCTAGGCCTCATTTGCCTACCTGGATCTTACTAGTTCTGAAATTTTCAGTTCTAACTATTCCTTCAGTTTATTCCAATATGAATCTCTTATTTGACCTTATGGATTTGTCCCGTCCCTTGACTGATGTAGTATTAGTCCTTTTTCCCTTGCTATGACAAAATACCTAAGGCATATTTAAAGAGAGAAGGGTGGGGGGGTTATTTAGCTTACATTTTTGAAAGCTGAAAAGTCCAAAGAGCATGGAACCAGCTCTGTTGAGGGAGCCCTTGGCTGCCTCACATCATTGTGGATGGCATCATGGCAGGAGCATGTGTGAGGCAGGAGTCACATGGCAAGACAGGAAGCTAGAGAGTGATTCAGTGGTCCACGTCACTCCTTTATAACAGTTCTCTCAACAGAACTAACCAGGGTCCCACAAGAACAATGTCCATTCCTTCTGAGGGCAGCGATCTCAGTAACCTAATTATTTCCCACTAGGTTTCACCTCTTAAAGATTGCCTCACCTCTTAACATCCCCACATTGGGGACCAAGCTTCCCCATCAACCCTTGGGGAAAACCACTTCCACACCATAGTATCCCCCTTCTCCCGTATCAGTTCAGTTTGACCCACAGTTTTCCTGCTGTTAATCCCATTCCATTTTTTAGCTGTCATAGTCACTTAGCAGAACTCTGATTAATGCACTGCTGGTCTTCTTCACATCTACACCTGGTACTGGACAAAGCTAGGAAACAAATTCACACAACCCTGAGGTCACCACACATCACACTGTCTGTCGTTAAGTTTGGCAAGTCTTCCAGTTTGTCTTATTTTCAGAATATCTCCAATTTCACAGAGGAAATAGAAGACATGTTTATCACCAACCCGAATCTCAGCCACACGCACGTCTTCTTTGATGTCCCTTAGACACTTCAGACTCGTGTTGAACCCTGAGCCTTCCCTCTCTCACTCACCGGTTGCTGCCCCTTCCTGCCTGCCCCTCTTGACTCACTGTATCCAGCCAGTTTCCCAGGAGTCATCCTTGACTTCTTCTCTCATGTTTGCCCTGGTTTAGATCCTTTTGGTTCTGCCCCCTAAGTAACCTTCGTCTCCACCCTTTTCTCTGTTTTACCACTGATGGTACACCAGTTCAGTCGTTTTCGATTATTTCAGCACCTCTGAACTATATCCTGTCCTACAATATGTTCCCCACATTTCATCTAGAGGGGCTTTTTAAAATGCAAATTTACAAATATTCTCTTGTTTGATTTTCTTTTTCTGAGAGTTAGCAAGTGTTTAGTAATTAAATACTGAATAAAGTAATATCAGCTAATAAAGATATTGACAAAGTGTTAGAAAATTAGAATAAGAGAACCAGAAAGAACCTAAGCATCTACAAGAACCATTGAGATTTCCTTGTTGTTTTATTAGAAGAAATACTTAGACTTCTATGCCTTCTTCATGGGCCAGTTCCCTAGCTTTGAGTCATAAGCGCAAACCATAGCCTTATAAGGGCAAAGCATAACCTTGCTTTGAAATATATATAGGTCACTAATTTTTAAAAAATAAGTATTATGTTCACAGGGGGAAAAATTCAAAAAGTACAACAAAAGATTGTAATTTAAAAAATTTTTCCTTACAACATAGTTTCCCAGACACCCAGTTCTCTTCTCCAGAGGTAGTACCTATGATTAGATTTATTTGTTATACATACAAGCATATAGTGATAGCAGACTACATTCTATTTTATAACTTGCTTTGTTTATTCAACAGTTTATCCTGCAGATTGTTCTGTATTTGGTACATATAGTGCTGCCTTATTCTTTTTAAAGGCTGTATAATATGCTTTTATTACAGATTATCATAATTTAGTTAACTAATACCATTTATGCTTTCAGAGAATTCTTATTTCTTCATTCTTATTAGAATAGGTTTGTCATAATACTTTTCATTCTCTGCTTGTTTGCTGCATGACAAAAAATGTAACATTTTAAATTTGTATTTCTTTTATTATGAAAACAAGTATCTTCTTATATTTGTTTATAGTTTATTTTTGTGAACCATCTGTATCTTTTGCCTAGTTTATTTTCAGATTGATGTTTCTCTTTATTAATTTTCAGGAACCTTTTATATATTAAAGAAATGAGTACTTTCTTTGTGATACGTTAAAACTTTTACCCATCTTTTCTTCTAGTACTTTCATCATTTCATGGTTTCTTTGATCCATCTAGAATTATTTTGTATCTTGGTATGTATTTTTGTCCAGATAATGTCAACTTCATTTTCGTTCATAAAACTAGCTACTGCTTCAATAATGTTCATTGAATAAATCAATATTTTTTCCTCTGTTGATTTGATGTGTCATCTTTATCATAGTCTCAGTTCCTCCATGTATTTCAGGCTGTTTCTGGCCTTGTTCTTCATTACTCTGTTTTTCTCTTCATGTATTTGTGCCATAGTCCTTTAAGGATAATAGCTTCATAATGTTTTAATATTTGGCGGGGCAGATTTCTTCACTACTCATTCAGAATCTTTCCCAGTATTTTTGCTTCATTATTTTTCTGTGCAAACTTTTGAAGTCATCTTACCACCTCTGCTTTCCTGAACCACCATTACTACTAAGTTAAAACAAGCAAAAAGCAAAAACAAAACCTGTTGGTGTATTCATACCTTTTATTTGACTTAAATTGTTTGGGAATATTGTAGATGAAAAGGTCCTCTTGTTAGACACTGCCCGAGGTTTTTGCCTTGCCAATTTCTTGTATTCTGTTTGGATACTATAATACAAACTGCCTTCTGTCCATGGCTTTATAGAACACTCTTCCCCGAACACCAGCTTTAATGCAGAGGAAAAGTTCCATATGGGTTTTTAGGATGGGTAGGTAGGACAGTGTGTGGGCACTGTGTTTTCTTTGCCCCTTTACACTTATATGACCATTTTATGTTTTTGCAGACTTGATTTTCCTTTGTTAGTGACAGTCATAATCTGGACTGTCTAACTTGGGTTAATGGGAATGCTTTGGGCTTT